CAGGATGAAATCTTGAAGATCAGCCTTGTCCAAACGCTCTTAGAGCAAAGGAGAGATAAGAATCAAGAACACGGAGACCCTTAAAAGCAGAAATCACACAAAGAATGTGGATTTACTTGGCGAGGACCATGAACAGATCTGCTCGTTGAGAGAAAACAGCAGAAAATGGGAATTACCCATCACAAACCTCAACTAAAAGGGCTCTTTTGCACCTTTACCACCTTGGACTCTGGCAAGCCCAGTCACCAGCATGAGGTACGTGCAGGCTTTTCAGAAACAGCCTAATGATCACAGAGCATAAAGCAAAAAAAAAAAGAAGAAAAAAGTGCAGCACGCCAGGCTGTTCTGCTGCTACAGCTGGTCAGGGCAAGGCAAGCCCGTTGCTCCCCGGGAGGCAGTTCCAGTGGCACAGAGAAGGAAACGGTTTCACGCAACGATTGCGTCTCCCAGGTCGGAAGCGACTTTCTAGTGCAATATCGCGACCGGTTCAGTATCAGCAGGTCGCTAAATACATTTTTTTTTTTTCCTTAAGAGGGAGATAACCCACCTTCCTCGCCTCGAGTCACCTCCCCACCCTCATCAGGTAGAGGGCACCAGTAGTTCCACCCAGATCGCGGCGATCTCCTAACACTTCACTGCCACGGGGCCGGAGATGATTCTTTTCATTAATGTTTGTAAAGTGCTTTGCAGATATAAAGCTCTGCCTAAGTGCTAAGTGTTATAAGTACCCACCGGCACCGGGAGGCGAGCTAGCCCGCTAGCCTCAGCCTCCCTGCACCTCAGCTCCCCCTCGAAACCACCATATTTGTCCCAGTTACCTGCTTTGTGCTTCTTGTACCTCATCACCTCATCTTGTATCTGTGCGTATTCCCAGACACCCCTTTTTTGAGTTGTTTTACCCCGTGATCTGCGGTATCAGCGGATCTGATGGCACTTAGGGAGCTGCTGCTCCCGAACCACACCAGCTCTCAGCACACAAGGGGAACGTTGCTGCATTTTGCACAAGGACCTACAAAGGAAAAAAGTAACTTCTTGCTGCTCAGAAGGAAAGCGGTTTTGATGTTACGAGTTACTTGGGAGTTCAGAGGGGCTTCTTCCCTCCGATTTGAGACAGGATAGGGAGGGGAAGAACAAAAAGAAGTCACCTTTGGAACCTAAACCACAGGGGCAATGTTTCACTGCCTGTTCAACAAAGCCCCTGCACTTCCGAAGGGCTTTGCAATTTGTATGGAGCAGAGGTCACAGTATCCCCCCAGATCAGCGCTTGGACACCAAGTCCAGGTCACCTGAGTGCTCCCAAAATCATTTACATCAACGTGCAGTGACTATAAAGCGCTCCCGTTGTGACCTGATGGCATCTGTTCCCTCTCGGGCACCCAGCACAGCCCCGACCCACCCCAGGGGCTGCCAAAAACCCACCCAATGCCCGAGCTAGAGGCTCGAGGTAACAGGAGCCGAGGGGTTTTCTGGGAGCTCTGCTCCTGACAAGCACAGCAACCTGCCACAACGGAAATACCACAGCTAAGGACAGGGAGAGGAGGGCAAATGACATCTCTGTGATGAGTTAAAACGGGAATTTCCTTGCCAGTGAGGGAGGACAGAGCTCCAGCGAGACCGCTGGAGCTTTGATATGAAGGTGTTCTGTCAGTAAAAGGCCTTCTACAGGTCACCCTACATTTAAACTTCCTAGAAAAGTAGTTTATCTCCTGTTTCCATCACTGCAAAGCCCCTGCCTGGGTAGGTCTATCCCAGGCTCCTCCGAGCACTGAGGAGCGCTCCCCAGCAGGGCTCAGGTGGTTTTACTAGTGACTGGGGTCAAGCTTTGCGGCGCGGAGTTGTGTGACGGGGAGGTGGAAGAGGGATGCCCGCGGCTTGCCCCGGGGCTCTGATCCTCTTGCAAAGCAGGGGACTCGCAATCCCACCTGCCCCATCCTCTCTCCCCTCGCTCTCCAGAGGGACCAGCACGTGAAGGAGAGAACAAACGTGCTTTTTGCTTCGGGAAAGCCTCCCTGCTTGCTTAATAAATACCTTCCAAAAAGCTTAGCAGCTCTGTAAACATACAAGAGATTTCAATACTTAGTAAAATGTCTTTTTTTTTTTCCCCCTGAACTCCCAATGACAGAGGCGGGCACTGATCTGCGATTCCGGCGTACGGGTGGCGTGAGGACCCAATGGAGTCCAGGGGAAGCTCCCAAGCTCTGCAGGGCCCTGGCAAATAACGCTGGGTGTCGAGAAAGCCTCTTGAAATCTCTAAGTTGATCCATCCATGCAGCTTTGAGATGAGAATTCTGTCAATCCTGCAGGAACATCGGCAGCTCAGAACAGTCCAGGGAACCAAGAAGTGACAATGGTGACGTTCAGGAGAATTTTTTCAGGCAAAGGAGGGATGTGGCAGAGGATTTTGGCTCTTTGCAAGCGTGCTTCTCTCTCTCAGCAGCAGCCTGGTGGTCACCGAACACAGAAGCGCTCGGGGAGAGCAAAGACAGTGCCAGCCCCGCTCCTGCTGCGCCTGGCCAGGGGAGGGGAGGCTGCATCCGGGGAGAATACAGCCCCCGATGGCTTTGAAAGAGGAGAGCGTCCTACAAAAAGCAAACCCCGTGGAAGTGTGACGAATTGGATCTTGGGCCAGATCCGACACGGTAGTGCAACAGGGCCCAAAGTCTCAATCTGCTCATTTTCAAAACCTCTGACACGGTACCGAGGCGGTGACGTGGCCTGGCCCCCTCTATCCGATCCTCGAGCTTTAGAGAATCCGACCCCTTTCACCCTGGAGGGTTCCCTGAAGCAGGGACTCTCCCTCCCAAACTCAGCAGGCGCCCTGAGGCAAGGGATCTGCCTCTGAAAATAAAATAATAAAAAACCCCCAAAAAACAAGACAGGCTGAGGTAGGGAACTCACATCTGCCTTTAGGGACTCAGACCCTCTTAGTGTAGCAGCCCATGCTGCAAACACGGGACTCGAGCACAATCCGTCCTCCAGACACCAGCGTGCCACCGCCCTGTCACCCCAGAAGGAACGTTTTCCAGCCGTCTCCTCCGATCCGAACTGCCCAGCGACCACCTCTCCTCCGAGTATTTATCCCAGCACTCAGCCTACAGGATCAGCTCGCAGAGCCACACTCCTTTACCCTGCACTAGAGGGCCGAAATCATGAGGTCGTCCTGCTTGGCAGGGCTGCTTACGTGCCCGGAGGGGGTGGAAGTCCGGATTTTGTCCGTGGCCAGGCACTCCTGGCTGCTCACACCTGTGGGAGTGATGTCCATGAGTTCTCCAGAGGAGCTAAGGGGGAAAGAGGGGGAGACAGAGATGCCCGACGAAGGATCTGTTGAGCCAGCAAACAACCTCGGGGGCTTTGGGACTAGGTTGGGTTCGTATTGTGCCCTCAAGAGGATCTCCTGTTCGCTGACAGACTTGGGCATCTCCGCAAAGTCACTGGAGCTGTCCGACACCATCATGCAGTAGATGTCCTGGAAGGAGCTGCTTTTGCTATCCAGATTAAAGAGGCTGTCTATGAACTCAGCGAATTCCAGCACTTGGGGACTGGGGACATCGGTGAGCCGGCCGTTTTGGAGGGCCAGCTCCTCGCGAGGGGCTAAGGAAACACGGTCCCCCTCGCTGCTGGCCCCCTCCTCGCTGCAGCGACGCTGCGGGGTGGTGTCGCCGCTGTTGAGAGCGTTGTCGGGGGGCTGAGTCTCCTGGGAGTGCTTGGAGAGGCTGTCGGCAGCCAGCAGCTCCGTCCGGGAGCTGAGGGAAGGGTTTTCCTCGGGGATAACAGGGTCTATATAAAAACAGTGCGTCTCGTCCTTCTCCATGACAGCATGGAGGCTAGGGGAGCCCCGGATGCTCCGGAAACCAGAGGAACGCCTTGAATCGAAGCTGTAGATGGATTCGTTGTCCGAGAGGCTCTCCATGGTTGCCAGAGGGGCACGACGGTCCTGCAGCTCCACGGACAGACGTTCCTTTGTATCCAGGAGAAGCAGCTCCACGGGGTCTTTCTGCACAGGGGAAAGGGGCTTTGTCTCATAGAAGCCCTCCAAGCTGATTTCAGAGTGGGACTTGCTCCTGCAACGAGAGGACAGAGAACGTGAGGTTGCGGCACTCCTCCAGAACCACAAGATGCCAGAAGAGCCAGAGGAACCGAGACTTGGGCACAGAGCTCCTCGTGCACTCTGAGGGCACGTGTTGCTGCTCTGACAGCAAGAAATCTCTTCACCACTCGATCCTCCCAGCTGGAAGCATCAGGCAGAGTTTCTTCCCTCTGCCAGCTCAGGTTCTCGTCCTTCTCCCTTTTCTCCTGGCTAAACATCTTCCCTCTCAAGCACCACGTTGGACCGTGGTTCTAATCCCAGTGAAATGCGCAGAGCTTCTAACTGAAGTGCCCAAAATCCCAGGGCACACGCTCCACACATGCAGACAAACCCTTCAACTCTCCCAACACCTCTCTATTTGAGAGGCAAGAGGAGGATTAACCTGCAGTTATCCTCCTACTTTCTTCTCACAGCCTGGAACCACTCCGATATCATTCCTTCCCCTTCTCTTCTCCACGCTGGCAATCCCTACCTCACTACTAACAAATGCCAGGGGGCTGTTAAAGCGTTGCCCATGCCCAATTCAATTGCTATTTCAGGTAGCAGACTTGAAAACAGGTAAAAAAAAAAAAAGAAAGCAAGCAATTTACTCAGCTTAAGACAAGTAAAGATCTTCAGAAAGATTCCAGTCACGCTAAAGACTTTAAAGGATCAGGCGGGTTCCTCCAGAAAGACACCGTGTCAAAGCCACCGGGAAGGAACTCCCGATGTGAAGGGCAAGAGCTCAAAAAGACAACTTCAAGAAATTCCTGGGAAAAGAGTCTGAGCTTGGGAGAGGACTGCCTCACCCGCCAAAAGGACACGAGGCGTAGTGCAAGACTTTTAAGTTAAGCCAATATTTGATCCCTTTGTAACTTCAACAGACTAACAGTGACCTGAGAACAGGGTTCAAGAACGCCCAAAGAGGGAGTTTGACCCACTAAGATGCCTCTAATCTTCAATTAAACACAACTAGCCTACAACTTTCTACTCTAGCACCTCCCTTAAGCCTCTCTCTGCTTCATTCTTTTCCCTTTCGTATCTCAGAATTTCCCCTCTGCTTTCACTCACCTCAAAGGGAAGCAGCTCCTTGGGTCTGCTCTGGCTACGGCACAGAAAACACCGCTCCTCTCCCTGCTGCTCGACCTAGTTCATCTTCTCAGCCTTCACAAACACGCGCCAGCTCCTGTTCCCGCTGTTTGATCAGTGCTGCCGTTCCATTTCTAAGCTCTCCTCCGCTGCCTCTGACCGTTCACTCTCCCTGCGAGAACCTCATTTTTGTATTATTTGCCGTCTTATCTTTCTTCTAAATTTAAATCTCGCTCATGTCATCTCAAGGATACTCAGCTGTCCATGGATCACCTCACCCTGTGCCTCTTCCCACACGCACACAGAGCTTCTCGTTGGGTGTCTCCACCCAAAAAATTTCCATAGAAGCGCTATCCTCCCAAAGAAATAATCCTCTCCCACCCACAAGGCTGTCTTCTGTTTCCACTCACAACTGCTATTTGCTATCTCTGACTACAAAACCCATCTTTTTTCTCTCACCTTCCCTGTTTTGTCTGCTAACTGGCCCTGGAAAATGCAATTCTGTGACAGGAACCGTGTGTTCCAACTTCAAAATAAGTCAGTGCCCACATTTTTGTATTTACTTCCTTTGCTTCTTGCAAATCTGTGGTCCTGTAATGCCTCAAATGTTACCTGAAAACCAGCAAGGAGTCTCTCTTTGGGCACATAAATCACATGGGAAAAGAGAAATTGGGCTGAAAGGCTGCAAACTTGGCCTTGGCAGTTTCAGGGAAAACCTCATTTGTCTGCATAAGGAGAAAAGGAAGTTTCTTCCGTACCCTCGACTCCTAGATTCTCCTGACCTGACAGAGTCTTGAGCAACGTGAAGGATTTTTTCCTTCCCAGACGTGACACAAGACACACTGAAGCCAAGTACAAGTCCCACAGAGGCAGCCCTTGGATCCACCCTGCCCACAAACAGCGATGACAACACCCCAGGAGGAAAAAGCCACCACCTAGAGCCAACAACCCTCCAGAGAAAGCAAAGATATCTCCTTACTTAGTGCTGCTGTTCCTTCTGTCCACCGTCACGGCTCCAGTTGTGATCTGCACCGAGGGCCCGCTAGGCAAGGGTTGACTCTGGAAGATCAGCTCCGGGGTGAGATCCACTTCTGTGGGGCTCACCATCACTTTGGCTGCAGAAAGTAAAGCTGTTTTCCCCTTGTTGTAATTCTCCAAGACCTAGTGGAGACAAGCAGAGGAACAGTTGCGGCTTCACTGGCGGTCGAGGCTTTGATGTTCTCAGCTCAGCCCTTTCCAACGGTTGGATGTGCCTCCGTTTCTTACCAACGTCTCCCGCAAGCACAGGGCAAGGTCTCGAGATCAAGGATTTTATGAATAAATTCTGACACGCTCTATCCTGTCAGGATGTGCTGCTGGGGAGGCGACTGGAAGGAAGCTGATGGGAGCAGCCTCCAGGTCAGCAGGGCAGGAGATTTGGCTAAATCTCCACGGTAGAGCAGCACGACCTAGTGTAGCTCAGCAGCAGAGATCCCTTCTAGAAGCGTTACACCTAAGCTCGATCACCCCTCAGACTCACAGAGGAGCTGCAGGACTTCTGGCATAGTTTGGATTTCAGTCTGGAACGGGGAAGCTTCTGAGAGAACGGACCAAACATGTGGAGGGGCCACAAGGCGGCTGGGGAGGGATTTTTTACAAGGGCCTGTAGAGATAGGACAGGGGGTAATGGGTGGAAGTCAGAAGAGCGTAGGTTCAGAGTAGATCTAAGGAAGAAGTTCTTGACCTTGAGGGTGCTGAGGCACTGGCACAGGTTGCCCAGGGAGGCTGTGGATGCCCCATCCTTTGAAGGGTTCAAGGCCAGGCTGGATGGAGCCCTGAACCGTGGGAGACGTCCCTGCCATGGCAGGGGGGCTGGAACTAAATGATCCTTGAGGTCCCTTCCAACCCAAACCGTTCTACGATTCTGTCGCTGTTTGAATTTCTGTCTGTAACGGGGAAGCTTCTGAGAGAAGGAACCAAACACTGCCCCCCCAACCTCACGTCATCCTGACGTTCAATCTGGGAAGACCACCTCGTCTGAGGCTCTGGGTACTCGGATGGAAATCTACATCCCATTCCCAGACGCTCATCGCATTCAACCCTACCGGCCCTCGATCCCCAGTTCTCCGCGTTACCTTGTTGAGCCCTTCCATGACCACATACGGGAGGTGCTCGTGCAACATCGCCGGTGAGATGATCACTTCGTTGAACGCCTTGTTGTCACCCCAGATAGCAAAGTAAGTGGGATCCTCCTGATCGCAGCAGCTACCAGAGGGAGTTGGGATCCAAAACGAGGGGGGAAACGGGAAGCAGGGGATGAAAGAGCAGGCCAGCATTTCGGGGTGCGAAAAGAAAGGAACAGCAGGTTGCAGGGACAGAATAAAGCAACAGGAGGAAAAACAGAGGGAGAAGATATTAAAGTACACGTGCTACTGCCATCGCTCCAGAACTGCAGGAGCCAACAGTGCCACGATTACCTTTCTGTTCTGACAGCACAGGCACAATCGCTGTCACCATATGACAATGTGGGGAGGGGAAAAAAAATAAAAATAAAACACCTCCTTCAGAGCCGAGTTCGTGTCTTGGGGAGTCTTTTTCAGACTTTGCAGCTCGGCGCAATACTCACCAGCACTGCTCTGCGGGGTGGTTGTGCACCACGTGGATGATGCGGCCGGGCGGGTAGAGCGGCGTGCTGGCCGACAGGGCGATGGTGAGATCGCTGGGATGGGTCCAGAGGCGATTACTCGTCACCGAGTTTTCTTCCGTCTCTTCGGGGAGCTCCGACTTGGGGATGCACTTCGTAGCGCCCACGATGATTCGCCACTGGCCCAACCCAAGAGAAAGGAGGGAGAATATTGAGAAAAGCACCCAGAAAAAAGCAGAGGTGTCTCATGAGATGCTACTGGGAGGTTTAAATGGAATATCTGATGCCAGAAAACAGAAAAAACAGGTCTTGTGCCCTGATTGCTTAAATAACAGACCTAGAGATAAGAGACAAACCTGCCCAGACAAGTTGTTTCTTCCTCTCCCAATTTTAACCTTAGAAATAGCTTCCTCTCTTTGCTGGAGGTTTTTGTAGAGTTACGGATCTAGAGCGAGCACCACCTTGTCCACCAGCTGATAACTCCGTACCCTCCACGATAAACAAGGTAGGTGGAATCTGAATCTTCAGTGCACAAAAATAAGCAAAGGATTATACGACATAAACAGCCCAAAATTCTGTTTAGTCCTTCCTTGACACATTAGAAGAAATCCTAAAAAACCCATAAAAATTCACAAAAAAAAGAAATCCCCAACCAAACCACAAAACACTACCGAGAAAAACAAATGTAAGCTCAGTTTCCTCCCCCTATAATATTTCACCTCTAAAAATCTTAATGTCTTTTCGTCTTATTTTCTTCTTCCCCCATCTAAGTGTAATGGCAAAAAGAGCCTGGGGAAGAACAACTTTCCACATTTCCCATCCCCAAAACATGAACAGATCGCTTATCCTAGAACAGCACCGCCCAGCCAGCCCGCGGCAGGGCCTGTAAGCAGACAACTGTTGTACTTCTTAGCCTGTCACCATTTGTTGCCGGCAAAAATAAGCTACAGTTGGAACACAGACTTCAAAAACAGGCTCAGATGAGACAATTCCCTGCTCAGTTCTTTTAGCCCTGCAATGGTGAACTGACAGCACGCGAGCTAGAATCATCCCAAAGCCTGGAAACTCCCGCAAACGTTCAGGAGTTCAGCTTGCTTCTTGTTTCGGAAAAAAAAAATCAGGTTTTCGTGTTGTTACTTGAGCTTCAGATTTTGACTAGATGAGTGTGGTGTTTCCTAAGATGTTACATAGACCCTCTCACTCTCTGCAGCTGCCTGACAGGACGGTGTGGAGAGGTTGGGGCTGGGCTCTTCTCATGAGTGATTGGTGACAGAACAAGAGAGAACAGCTTCAAACTGCAACAGGGCAGGCTGAGACTGGACAGTAGGAAAAAACTTTTTCACAGAAAGTAGTCAGAGATTGGCCCAGGCTGCCCAGGGAGGGGGCTGGATCCCCATCCCTGGAGGTGGTTACAGCCCATTGAGTTGTGGGGCTGGGGGAGATGTGTTAGGGATGAGCACTGTAGAGCAGGTTCAGTGGTTGGTCTCGATGGTCCCAGGGGGCTTTTCCAACCTGAATAATTCTATGAAACCACGTGCAGGCCTTTGCCTCGAGCTCTCTAGCTGCCTTCTAGCTCTTGCTGTCACTCCTCTGGTCACTTAAACAGCAGCCACAGTGGACCTGAAGAGACCTGAAGAGCAGGAGAAGCCTGCAGTATCGCTGCGTGATCCTCCAAGTTTACAGTCAGAGACTCCCTTTCAGGGGTCTGTTCATCTTTACTCTCACCTTTGGTTTGTTGCTTCTTTGAAGAACATCCAGAAGCTGCCGGCGAAACCCTTCGAGCTGAGAGAGGCCGATTCTGGAAGAAGAGGAAGATGCGCTGATGAGTGCTGGGTAAGGAACAGGATGACAGGGACACACAGGCAACAGGAGAATGAGAAACTACGTTCCGAAAGACACTACAAAAACGCAACAACGCAGATTGTTTCAGAGGTGGGTTGTGGCATCACCCGGGACCAGCAACCAGGGTTAAGAGGCCACAGGAAACCATCGTGACAATAAAATGAGCATGAAAGGTAATAGCAGAACCAGATCAGCAAACACAGATATGAGAGAGGTCAACGAACAGATAACAAGGGCGACGGTGCAATCACAGAGATGAGCGACAAAGGAGGATGACACAGAACAGCTGAATGAGAAAGGTGGCATGGAGCTATATGACACCACTAGACACCTTACAGGATCGACAAGATTTTGTCACGTAGGTTCCCAAAAGGCACAGGAAGCACCTTTCAACCACTGAATTCTACGTGCCTCCTAGTCCCAAGGCCCTTTTGGGCAGAACATGTCCCAGAAGATGACGAGAGGTGAGAAAGGCTGAGACACAAGAAACGAGGGAGCTGGTTTCAGAGATGTGAGATGACACGGAATGGGTAATTCGGGGACAAAACGGTGCAAAAGGAGGTGGCAGCACATCTAGCTCAGGGCAGAGCAACCTGGAAGGTGGCACTAACATGTCAGACACCGCAACGTGTATAATTACAGAGGCAGGATATTCACCCCTTGTCTTTCACCCAGGCAGCTGAGAGACGGGGAGGGACATGCCTGTAAAAAGGCGTGTGAACCTCCAGTACAGGTGTCCAGGTAAAAGATGCAGCAACACAGGTAACTAGGAGGATGAGTAAGAAGCACAGGAGGACAGGTAAATGATGAAACGAGACAGACATGAGCTAGATGTTTCTGGTAGGAAACAGGTGACTTGGGTAGAGAACAGTAGATACTCATCAAGAAATTCAGACACTTCTCAACTTGCCTGGGCACTAGATCTTTACCAAGCACGACTGCAGTCACAAACTCTTTTGAATACTCCATGGCATCCTCACTGGAAGAGAAACAGGACCAAGAAGAAGCAAACAGAGTTTCACCAGCAGCAAACTGCCCTTCATTCCCAGTTTGCCACTAGTGTCAGAAGGGTCACACCAAACAGTGAACCAAGGCCATAAAAACCACAACCCAAGCTGCTCAAAGGCTTTTGGGACTTGCACCTTGATAAAGAAGAGCCTGATATTCACATCCCATGCCCCGAGCAACACTACTCTGCATATGGCTCCGAACATACTTGGAGAAGGAAGCACTAATTAATTCAATGCCTCAAAGTATTTTTCCAACAGTTTGGGAACCGTCAGGACAGCCCAAAGGAAGACCGTACTCCATGCTCCTGAGACCACTTTACAAAGACGTTGTAGAACCGAGATGGTGACTTTCTGCAGCAACCTGAGTACCGAGATAAAAGGGAATTATGGCTTCCACTCTATGAGCTGGTTCTGTAATGAGCTACCTTCCTTCCTTTGAACCAGTTACCCCTGGCAGAGGCTGCACCATTCACCCAGAGGTGATGCTGGGTGTGACACACAGTGGTAGAGGCACCTCCTCGAACTCCAGGAGGCTGAGATAACACAGCACAGCTCGGCCCGAGCTCTCAAGCGATCTCAGGAGTGGAAGCTGTGAGCAGAAAATTATCAAATGCTCGTGAAGGATTCTACAGAACAACTCCTCTCTAGCTGCAGAAGACCAGGGATCACAACAAGGCATGCCAATATCCAGATTCACCAGCAGGATGGTTTAAAACCCTTGGCTGCTCCTGGAAGGGGATGTGGTACCTCTCACAAGAAGCTTCTGATAACCCACAGCTGCTTTCAAGCGCCCCCACAACATCTGTCACGACTAGAAAGACCTTCTCTCACTTCACAGCACTCGAACGGGATGTTTTTTCGTTTGGCTGCCTCATATATAACGTGACCAGCAGCTCTGTTCCAATTTGCAGTGAGAGGAATTCGCTGTCCCTCTCTCTTCGGAGATCTCAGGCAGCTCCCCTAGATTCCTGCTACAGCCAAGGGAAGCACGATCCCTCTGTCCTGCGTTAGGCACCCACTTCAGAATGACAGAAATTACACCTCAGAAGCACCCATTTCTTTGTGAGCTGCAAAAGGAGCCCAAACAACTGGATCAACTGAGGCAGACACCTACATTCGGTCAAATATCTCCGTTACCGTACATCTGCTCACAGCAGAGGGGGGCAGGACACACGGGCACCGTGCACAGAATAAGGAAATTGCAGCCCATCCACTCCACTTGCCTTTTGCACTAGTCAAGGTGAAATCAGAGCTACAGAGTCACGAACGGGGATATTTGTGAGAGCCACCATAACCTAAATCCAAACTGTAAGACGCAGCAAAGGTTGCTAACGACCTCAGCTCCTACAGGCTGCCTCTCCAGTTTTCTGCACGCTTCTTGGGGCAGAGATGGGTCTTTTGCTGCCCCTCCAAGTGTGGCAAACAGGATCTTTTCCAGCTACAACTACCTCCCCACTCCCTCTTACTGGTCCTCCCACCCCAACACGTACCTGAGCAGCCCGCCAGGGGGAGAATAGGCAAAGCACTTCAGCGACGGGTACTGGGGACGCAGGAGGAAGGACAGGATGGCAGCCGTGCCAGCCCCTAGGGAATGACCAACCACAATCAGGCCATAGTGTTTTGTTCCTCGCCCCTGAAAACAACAGCAACAAAAAGACCAGACAAGAAATTGAGGTTAAGTTCACAAAATCTGTCCCTTTTCCCCAGCTGTGAGTCTTTCCAGAACACTCCCGCATGCTCTGAAGCGACGCTAGAATGTATTTTTGTCTGGTGTTCTCTCCTACATCCCCACTGGGCAATTTCTGACCTACTGGGTCTTCCCCAAAAGAAAAAAAAAGTAGGTAAAAAAAAAAAATTCACACTCAAGCTGTTTATTTAGGATTTGATAGGAGCCTTTTGCTCCTCCTCAAATCTGACAGTCTTCTCATAAAATCCGAGCCCAGGCCCACACATCTGAGGGCTCCTTGGTTCAAGAACTGACTTGCTTTCATTAATTCCACCACTTGGGGCTCAGGCCCAGCTAGTCACGCTACTTTTCATCCATTAAAAGTTGGACCCAAGGCACATCAAAGCAGCTTCAAACAGAACAGAATATGACGTTTATTCTCACACCCAGGAGACAACCAACGGGCAGAGCTTCGAATGTCACCCTTAACCAGTCAGGGAGCAGCTGAGCTCTACAGGACATCAGGAAAACAATTCCTCATGAGTAACAGCTCACTCACCAAGACCAATTTTCACTTGGTGGGCAGAGAGGAATAAAGCACCATGTATAGAAGAGGGATGCTTACGTGTCTTTCCAAACACCGCAAGGCAGACACTTGTTGCAGGAAACCACTGAGGCTTTTATCCTCCTTTTCTCTCTCCCTTGAGCTCTTACTGATCGCTCCACGGGTACTTTTTTGGCACTTTTTTGGCAGGAGAAACAGACAGCTGTCTGACAGGGAACAGGGATTCAGGCAGTTCAGAAGTTCCCTCCCCAAGAGGGACAGACCGTGCTGCTACCAACACATAAACTAAGGTACGCAGCTCCATAATCTCCCTCTTGGGTTCTCGGATGAGCTCCCCATCACGCCAAATGTGCACATACAGCCAAGCCAGCGTCGTATCCCATTGCTGTCTCCAAAGAGAATCTCCACAGAGATGGGATTTTAGTTCCTGTCGATTCGGTTTTAATGTTCCCCGTCCTGCATTATCACCAAATGGGACTGCCTGTCTTGGCTTTGCCTCCGGAAAAAAATAACAATAATCAGGAGCTCTGTGGTATCGGGTGGTTTCAAAATAAAAAAGCCCTTTGGGGAACAAGTAGCTAGCTGCCTGCCCGGTATTCCAGAGGGATAGGAATTGAAGGAACATTTGAGAAATTGATTCAGAGACGTGGAGATTTCCCTAAAACCACTGGTTTAGGCAACCTCCTCTTCCTTGCAGCCTGCAAATGAATAAACTAATACTCACTAAGTCTCGTCCAAAAGCTTGAGAAAGCACCATTTCTTGCTCCAACTTCTTCTTGATGTACTCGGCAGAGAGCACCATTCCCTGAGGGGAACACGAAGACAGAGGGAGATGTCAGCAGTTGCGTATCAGCCCCCAGTGAAACGCCCAGCACACCCCACGCTCCCGCCCCAAACGCTGTGTGAGCTCTGCGGCACCACAACGGCACGTGTCGGGCTTGGCGAAGAACACCGAGGCTCCAACTCCCCATCTTGAGGAATAGATTTCATTAGGCAGATGTCTCGGCTCGCTGATTCCCAGAGCTGCAAAGCGTTTAGAAAGTAACAACAGCTCTTTTAAATTAAGGTAATGCTCGGAGGTCCTATTCCTAGGCTCACGGCACAAAGTCTAGAGGAAAAAAAAACACCCAAACCCATCAAATAACCGACAGGAAACAACCCACTTAAACACACGGGGTGTATCTGGTAGTTCAGCACCTGTAGGAGAATGTAGAAATAAAAAGGTTTGTTGTTTTTTTTTTTGCATGTCAGCGCCTTAACTGCACAATCGTGCTCTCCCATTGAAATCTGGGAATGGAAGCATGAACGAGCCTAACGGTGGGAAAAATGGAACCCCAAGAAGACACTACCGGAGAGGAAAAAAAAAAGGTGGCAGCACGATCTGCATAGGATGAGTTATCAGTGACTGGAGAAGGCAGCAACTCTTAAGGGGAACTGAGCTGTCATCAGTTATTAAGAGGTTTTTATACCCAGAACCTCAGAGCTGCTGGAAGATGGGAAAGAGCTGATAGTCCAGCTCTAAACGTTTATCCCCTCTGCTGGTGGCTTCATCTCCCCCACGTAGTCATCACCAGTGCAGCTCATCTGTCACAAACGAGCAACTAGAATTCGGGCTGTTGCATCAATTTGTGGTTGTGCCTTTACGACACCTTAATTCAGCTAATTTACTAATTGATTCAGTTAATTTGCTACAGTTTAACTCTGAACTTACAGAGGCTGAAGAACAGGGAGAACGTGGGTAAACAGAAACCATCTAATTACTTGGTGATTACAGATCTCAAATAACTCAGCGTACCTGGGTTGGTCAAAAAAACACGGGAGATCATCTCCCTCTGCTGTTTTTTTCATTCCACCCCTACCTGAAAAGAGTTTAAGTACAAAGCGAACGTTACCGAGCGCTGTTTAATCTCGGAGACATAAAAGAATTCCCAGCCGTCGCAATAAAAATAAAAAAAGCAAAGAATTTTCAAACTCCGCAATATCAAACACGCCATCAAATCTGATCCAGCTACCGAAGGGAAAAGAGCAGAATGTGAGCGACTGCTGAGCCTGTGAAAGGGAACGTCTGGAACGCCATCGTCATCAAAAAAAAACAGCGCGGATGCCTTCGTATTTCCAGCCTGTGTTGAGATCTCGGAACAGCTCGCGGCTTCCAGAGCCTTCCGAAGGGGCTCCGGTGAGCCTTCCGAAGAGGCTCCGTTTCACCGCTAATGAGAAGCGAGCGGCAGGCAGCTCCTACAAACCGCCGGCGTGAATTCAGGATTCTATTTTTGAAAAGCGTGACCTAAATCCGCGGTGATATTACTAACGGGCCGTTAGTCAGCCTTAGAGCTATGGTTCTGATAATTAAGGTGTATCCTAATAGGCAGCGATTTTAATAGCAGGGAATGAGACTTTTAGTGCCGCAAAGTTACATTTCGACTTCCCGTCGGAAGCGGACGCCGTCTCTTAAGTTTCCAAAGGAACAAAAACCATCTGGGTTTAACGTTCAAACCCTCACAAGTAAATAACCAAACCAGACCGGAGATCTATGGCAAGCGAAATGGAAATATTCTGGAAAGCACCAAACTGCTCCGTGATATTTGAACCCCACAGAGAGGGTCTATTTGGTAGAGAAAAGAGCTTAGAAGTTATTGCTATTACTGACTGCCAATCCCTTTTTATTTTTATTTTTTTTTTGTGGCATGCTAACCCATAAACCTTAGCCACAGCTCTAGGGTTTTCTGATCCAAAATAGCTCAGGGACCTAATATATATATATTTTTAT